TCCTGAATCAAACCTATGGAAACCACGGCCTTAGTACTAATGTACTCTCACGTGGCCCATGAATGCTCAGTGTGGTTTATTTCTTTCCTCTTCATCCTACTGCTTTTATTTTCCTTGCAAAAAGGAATGTAATGGGTGCTGGAATAAGCTTTTCTGAGTGCCGCACATTGTACTTTTCAGTTTACAAGTATATCTGCAGCAGCGTTCAACAAATATTATTCATTTCCTAAATATGTCCTGTAAGAGAGTCTGGTAAAGTGTTATTGCTACTGTAGTTTGGATTCCGGACACTAAAGTGGATGCCAGAAATTGTGTCATGGTCTCTTAGCAGCAGCAGAATTTTTTAATTTTTTTTTTTGCTACTTCTCCAGCATGTTGGCCACATCACAAATTGACTTTGTTGTAATGCTAAAAACATTACAGCCTGCTACTTTCTCGTAAACACATTTTCACCTCCCATTGAACTACTGAGTTCAAATGCTTCAATTGCCATAGCAGTATTAAGTTTTGAGAGATCAGTCTTAATTTGGGTTTAATGGTATATGTATCAAAAGGAGTTACTGACCTTTGATCGTGGTTGCTGAGTAGGTGGCCCAACCATCTGTGCAGAGAGCAGAATTGTCATTTAGTGCCTTGGGCATGTAAGCTGGCAAGAAAAGGGAGAGAGCCGGAGCCTTGGGTTGGTCAAGCAACTGGACAGGCGGATGTGCTGCAGGAGAGAAGAGGACAGGAGGGACACAAAGAGAGGGGAATCAATGACATGAGTAGCATTGTGGGGAACTAGGGAGAAAAGGGAAGGTGTGGTTGTTTAGTAGTGAAGGAGCCATAAGGTATTTCCTTTACCTGTTTTCCAACCTTTTCAGAATACCACGCACTTGGTATGCTGGTCTCTTGCAGGATGGCTGAGCTGATAACGTGATGCAACCACAAAAAAACAGAGCCAAAACCTAAATAGGCAAATATGAGATGAGTCTAATACTGATGAGGGATGAAGAAATATAAGTGGTGTTGCATATGCATGGGATGATTAAACTGGGGGCAGTATGACATGCTCTCCATAAACTTTTTTGCGGAAAGAAGTGAGAAGGAAGAACCACCTGAGCCAAGGGACAGTGGTAGCAAAAAGGAAATAATTATGAACTAACTTGAGTACATGTAGGTTTAATATTTGAATCTTTCAAGCTGCATCAATAGGAGCCTCTAGAAGAGGTTCTGTGTGGCTCTCACTACTTGCATTGTGTTGTCCATGCTACCCCTAACTAGTTTCACGACAAAGAGCTTTCTTATCTGCAAAGGGGCTGTGGTTGCTGTGAAAGCACTGTATGGCTACATTATTCAGAACAAATACTTCATCTTTTTGTAGTCATCAGCTGAATGCAAAGCTCCTGAGCTGTAACAGAATAAAGAATCAAGTTTCTAAAAGGTGCATTAAACCTGCAACAATTATGTATTTTATGTTGACCTGAGAGTTCATTTCTATTTTTCATACATGGTTTGTTTTCTGTAAATAATAAACAATATCCACTTTTAAGTAGGTACAAACACCAAATATTTTACTAGGTGCAGTAATCTAACAAAGCTCTTGGTCTGCTGAATGGCTGTTTATTTAATGTAAAAACATGCCATGTTTCGCTTTCAGATTTTTTCCTTAAATTGTGTAATGCAAGTGTGCCTTTTTATTTATATTTTGCTTTTATGTCCTACTTGCTTAAGTTTTTCCAAGGGGTTCTAATGCTCAGTTTCCAGAGACCTTTATTCCATGAACTGAAAAATGCATTTGAAACAAAATCAATACTAATCTGTCTCAAAATTACTCCTAAAGAAAACTAAATATAAGTAACACATCTGCATTTCTCCAAAATATACATTGCTGCATGGCAGCAAAGCACCTCTGGATCCAAACCGCAGCCCAGTAGTTTCAGGGTCATGAGTCTCTGAGCTCCACAGAAAGACATTTTTGGTACAGGAAAGCTGTTGATTCTGACTTTATTCTTTAATTTCACTACATGACATCACAGTTACTGAGTTAAGAACACACTTATTGGGAAACACTTCTGCATATTTATGTAAAAATCCAGCAATACCTGAATGCTTAAAATGTTCAATATTTTATAAGGTTCTGAGATTTCTTAATGCTTTTCAGAGTAGAAATTGCAGCTTATGGTATTGTTAGTGCTCCAGATTCTCCTGTTTCCTTTTTATTAAATGTCTTCAGACAGAACGCATGCTGTTGATGCACTGACATTTTGTTCAATGAAGAATATGACATTTATTCCACCAAGAATGCTACCTAAATGTCTCTGAAATTTAGTGAGTTTGTTTTGAGCTTGCTATCTTTTGAAAAACTTAGAGATTATGCTTGCTTGTTCCTGGAGAAAGTCTAAATAAGCTATGGAGAAAAAGTATTCCTTTTACTTCTGTGGGTCTTTGTATTCTGGAAGGTGAATGCTTCACCACTTACAGAACATCAGGACTTGGGGTTTTTTTTTGTTTGGTGTTGTTTTTTTTTTTCCCCCCCTGGCTGGATGTGAAGGACAGATTGTAGGTATTGTTGGTATTTGTTTTAGCTAATTCTCAATTGACTCTTTCTTACTTTGCAGCTTTGCTCTCTCTGATGAAGCATACAGATCTTTAAGGGACCAGGACAAAGACCAGTGTATCCTTATTACAGGAGAGAGTGGAGCTGGAAAAACAGGTAATAAACAGTTTTGATCTTATCCAAAAACATTCTTACTTGTTTGGAGTATTGCAAAGTGATGTTAGTGTCTGTAAGTGTTGAGAGATACTGGTATCTTTTTGTGTCTGGCAATCACAGAAAAAGAATGCTGTCGCGTTTGTTGTTGTAGGTGTGAACTCATAAACTAGTGTTTTTTCATTGTTACCATGATGCAGTCCTATCCTGTGTTGATACAAGAATCCTCATCAGTATGAAGTTATACTAAAGTAATGCTGGTATTGCAAGGGCCAGAAAAATTTTAGGCTCTCCCTGTGGGAAACATGAAGATGGAGAAAATTGAATGATCTTGGTCTTCTAGACTGGAAGACAATCCTTTGATACTTTTGCATGTCTTTTAATAAGTATATACATTTAGACTGGATTATGCCATTTATCCAAGGAAATAAATAACAGTAGCTGATTACTTTGGAAACATAATCAGTCTTTTGCATGCTGTGCTCAGCTGCAATTCTAAGATTGGCTTATGTACCAGAACACTGTGTTTCTCAGGCAAAGCTGAGATTGCTAATTTTTAAACTGGAATGGTAGAAATCAAGTGAGGATTGTATAGCTGCAGAACACTTTAGGTAGACCTTAAGAAAGAAGGAAGCCAGTTATTTTCTGAAATAGCAATTTAAAGCTGAGCTGACTTGCCAAAGACACAGGGGGTAGAAACACATACGTCTGTTTCTGTGTAATTTAAGGGATTTTTCCTCTGAATCTGAGAAAATGTGGAGCTCTGTATGCTTCTACACAGCAAGATTTAAAGTGGGTAACAAAAAGTTGCTTTCCAAACCTTTAGTGAAAATGTGAAGTGTAGCCTTCATCTTTGTTTTTCTTTGCCTGATTAGTGGCATCCAGTTGAGATCTTGTAATATAATCCTTTTTTTTTCAGTTCAATAACATGAAAACACATGTGTGTTCTGGAAAAGTGTATATTACAATAATCAAGTTCTTATTAATATGGCTGTTAGGGATTCTGTCTAGGAGTTAAAAATTTAGGAGTTCTGTACTGGTATTGTTTAATGTCTTGATTTCCTCAGGAACTGTGACTTGTCAAGCACCTCATACAACTGAGGTTTATCTTTTGTGTTTCATTTATTTATTCAGTTGAAAGGTTTAGCATTGACTGAGTTTCTGAACTTTTCTATTTGTAGACAATATTCTGGTAGATTCAGATTTATATAGGGATTTTGACTGGTCTGTAATTTTCATAGCCAAATGGGACATAATATGAATTACTCTTTTATAAAGATAAGTACAGAATGGTATAGAGTTTGAAATTCAAGTCAGTAATTGACTCGGAATCTGAGCTGTTCTCTCTCTACCATTTGATGTAACTGCTGTTGCTGAAATGGGGCTATTAGCCAAAAAGTAAGGTTTCCATGGCAAAAAAACCAAGGGGGACAGGGGAGTTGAGGAAACAAAGTTGTTATTACAGATCTTATATAACTCTGGTTTAGATGCTTGGTAGCCAGAACTTTTGACATGTTTAGGCTGGAAGAATTAAAACTGAACTGTCATCAGCTGGGTTTTTTAATTTGCTTCCAATTTTTTTCTTGTTTCACTGCAAGTTTTTATTGCTAATCGGTAGTAATATTGTGCACAAAAACATGGTACATTACCAGAATGAGTGGGGTATTTAAATGTTTTTAGATGTTGAGGTGATGATTCTCTTCCTAGTGTCTTTATTGGACAAGAGTTCCTAATAAAAGAAAGTGCCTTTTTTTTTTTTCTTTCAGTGATGTTCAAAGCCTATCTTGAAGTAATTGTGTGTTCTCTTAATGCATGTTATTTTATAGTACCTTATTTTCTATTTCAGTGCTTTCTTCTCTCAGTGATTGAGTAGCTCTACTTAAAGGTGTTGACTGTTTTAGGAAATACTTCAAATCAAATAATTTGGTAATCCCAAGGTCTGAATGGAGCAGATTGTTAAAAATGAGAGCTGGGTTCAAGGCCTTGTGGACACAACTATAGTTCTTGCTCCTTGCTTGCTCCCTGTGTTGCAGGTTTGCTCAGTTTTCTTTACCATATGGGACAGTAATTTAATACTAGCAAACGAATTTGATTAAATAGGAAACAAACAAAATGCAAGGGATAACTTCTTGTTTGTCAGTTCTTTCCTGAAATGAAGCCCTTAAATTTGTAACAGACCTCTGAAGAACAAGTAGTGAGTTTTTTATGACCACTGTGTTGAGTTGGTGGGGATTCAGGCTGTTAGTAATGACATTATATATCAGCTGATATTGCCTCAGATTTCACTATCTTGCATCATTGTCCTGGTTTCAGCTGGGATAGAATTAATTTTCTTCCTTGTAGCTGGTGTAACACTGTGTTTTGGATTTAGGATGAGAATAATGTTGATAACACACTGATGTTTTGTTTGTTGTTGAGCAGTGCTTATGCTAAGTCAAGGACTTTTCAGCTTCTTGTGCTCCCCTGCCAGCGCAGAGGCTGGGAATGCACGGGAAGCTGGCATTGGTCTGTGGGTGGTGCACAACTGCATTGCGCAGCACTTGTTTTGTATGTTCCTTTATCATTATTATTGTTTTCCCTTCCTTTTCTGTCCTATTAAACTGTCTCTATCTCAACCTATGAGTTTTACCTTTTTTCCTGTTCTCTCTCCCATCCCACTGAGGGGGAGTGAGTGAATGGCTGTGTGGTGTTTAGCTGCCTGCCGGGTTAAACCGCAACAATCATCCTAAACATCACACACTCTGTTCATAAACAGAATCCTCTTTCAGCTGCTCTTTGTCTTGACCAGCAAAACCATGAGAGATGTATGGATATATAATATAAAATAATATTTGTTTCTGTCCGTATATGGGTGATTGACACACATATGAGCCCAGCTTTGAGAGTCCAAAAAATTGTTCCAGATGTTTGTTAAAAGTTTATACCTTCAAATTAGTTTCATTGTTTAAATAAATGCTTCACTTTCTCTATTCATTATACTTTGAAACAGACTGCATAATGTGATGCTGAATTGCAGTTACTTGTTTACTTGTCATGTGCTTTACAGTTGTAACTACATGTGTATGTTGTATGTTTACATCTGTGTTATTGTGTATCCGCTGATACAAACTGATAGAATTTTCCGTCTTGAAACTGCTTGGGCCTATTTTTGCAGACTAGATTAAAACATTTCCAATGTGTCAACTAGGGATAATGTTCTTTCCTTACTGAATGCCTCTCACTGAGGCTAAATGAAAAAGTAGAGGGTAATGTGCTATACGTACCAGTGGCTTCTTTAGCTTGGGAGGGCTTTTAGGTATTTAAGGGCTGCTGATGTAATGGCATGGGTCTTGTAGCAGGATATGCTCCTTCCTCATTTCCAGGTGGTACAACAACGTAGAAGAAAATGAAAATGAAATGTGCTTACAGTTCCTGTCTGGTGTGGTAAAAATGTGGTGGGGATCAAGTCTGCAAATCATTTTATGGCCCGTTTGCCAATACTTATCACTGTTTTATTTTGCTCTCCTCCCACAGAGGCAAGCAAACTTGTCATGTCATATGTAGCTGCTGTGTGTGGAAAAGGGGCAGAGGTTAATCAAGTAAAAGAACAACTTTTGCAATCAAATCCAGTTCTTGAAGGTAAGAATCTACAGAGCTTGTATGAGTGTATTACCTCTGTGTGTATCAGCTTTCCTATGGTTTGGAAAACTCTATCTGATGTTGTTTCATTGTTATTTGGTGTCCAAAACTGTAGGAGTTTTCTGCCTTCTGTGAAGACAGCTACAAGATTTTACTCACTTACAGAGAGGTTTTCATGAGGATCTGGGGAACTACAGGCCTGCCAGCCTGACCCTGGTGCTGTGGAAGGTTATGGAGCAGATCATCCTGAGTGCCATCACGCGGCATGTGTGTGACAACCAGGTGATCAGGCCCAGTCAGCATGGGTTTATGAAAGGCAGGTCCTGCTTGGCTAACCTGATCTCCTCCTATGAAAAGGTGATCTGCTTGGTGGATGAGGGAAAGGCTGTGGATGTTGTCTGCCTAGACTTTAGTAAAGCCTTTGACACTGTTTTCCACAGCATTCTCCTGGAGAAACTGGCTGCTTCTGGCCTGGAAGGGTGTCCTCTCTGCTGGATTAAAAACTGACTGGATGGCCAGGCTCAAAGAGTTGTGGTGAATGGAGTTAAATGCAGTTAGTGGCCAGTCACAGGTCGTGTTCCCCAGGGCTCAGTACTGGGGCCAGTTGTGTTTAATATCTTTATCAGTGATCTGGAGGAGGGGATGGAGTGCACCCTCAGTAAATTTACAGACCACACCAAGTTGGGCAGGAGCGTTGATCTGCTTGAGGGTAGGAAGGCTCTACAGAGGGATCTGGACAGGCTGGATTGATGGGCCGAGGCCAATTGTATGAGATTTGACAAGGCTGAGTGCTGGCTCCTGCTCTTGGATCAGAACAACCCCCTGCAATGCTACAGGCTCCGGGGGGGGGCGGTGGGG